GGCCTGCTTGTATGACTTCTTTAGCCTGAAGCACTGGTTGCCAACCCACGCGCTCTCCAGCCAAAGCGTGGGGCACTACAAGCCCCAAGCCCAGACGCGCAGATCAATGGCAAGTGGTTCATCCCCAAAGGGGAAACGCGGGTGGAGGTTAAGGTCCCGTGCATTCAGAGGGTCCCCTTCTGCCTCGTATGTGTTTTGCTCTGCATTTGAGGAGAGACCTCAACATGTCTGAACTCAAGACTGTTTGCCCTGAGATGGCACCAACAAGGGTGATGTTCTGAATGTTGCAAGGGAGCTTATGTCAAAACACCGTTGATTTCACTGGGCTGTCACTGTCCTCAGATCCCCGGCAAAAAGTAACTTTTAGTGGGTTAAATGGAAATCTCGGCTAAACGCTAAAAAGCTAGCCTTAGGGGATGGCTGGGAGCCACCAAGTTACTATGGTTTAAGAGGATGGTTGCCCTTTGGTTTTGAACGTCTCCACAAAGCGCGCTCAAAAAGCAACACACGCTCAATAAACGTGCCCAGAGTTCTGTTGTAAACCACCAGGCTTAGCGCCTCTGGCGCAGCCTTTTATCACTGGCCCAACATAGCAAATGTGGCCGAACATTCCGATACTGGCGCCCCAACTTCCTGCAACAAATGTACTTTGGAAACAAACTCAGATTAAGCATGGGCGATATAGTGACAACTTCTTACTTGAAACATAATTTTGAAGGCGCAAAGGAACTTTTTTCTCGTTAATGTGCTTCTCTCAGGTCCCTGTCACAACAGCTGCGAGAGTTAACTACCACACATCACACACACACGTGCTGCCTTGGCACAGACTCTACATCCAAATCCCCGAAAAACCTTCCTGACTTGCCGGATCGCCCGGATCTACTGGAGGACTTGAGTCATCGAAAGTGCCACTGGGACGTTGCCTGGCCCTCAATTGGAATGCGAATTGCTCCCTGCAGGTCCACTCATGGGCAAGCTCATGCAAAAGGAATGCACCCTGGTGCTGAAGGTTCTCTGAAGGCTCCAGAAATAGCCAGGACTGAGTTGCCTAGTCGCTTTCAATCAACAGAGTTTCAACCTGTGGCCATGCGACTTGTTGCTCGGCCCATCTCCCCAGCCAATCTACGAGGAATATCACGGGGTCTTTGCCTGTGGAGTTTGAAGGCTCGGGGCCCCTTTCAGTTGAGGAAACCGATGGACAACTGCCATTTGTTGGGGTCCAACATTGTGACACGTACAGTACCCAAATTTACAGACTGGACCCACCTTCCCGACTCGACTCCGATGAGCCAGCACCGAGCAACAGGTTGTACTTGTAGCCGGGGCTCACCAGGGTGAACTTCACTTGGCTGTTGTACCAGTCCTTTCCAGGCGCTCCTTTTGCCAACCTTTTTGGGACCAGTTTGATCATGCAACAGACAGCCTACAGTTTTCAGGGGGCCACACGGGGCAGCCCACCTTCCGACCTGCGTGGCCCCTCAGCCTTGGGGACCCAGAAACCGGCCGGGAGGGAAGAATCTGGGGGTTTCTGGTTCCCACCTGTCAGCGCAAAATCAAACGCGCCAACTCGCCCGGTTCCTTCGCCTTGGCCTGCAAACCATGGTTCGGATGGCCCCCTCTCCACTTAGGGCGCCAGCAAACTCCGCAACATTTGTATATTTCTGCGTTAAGCAGATGCGAGTGAGGGCTGCCAGCTGGTTTCTTTTCAGCTCCCTTCCCAAATTTCAAGTGGGATCCCCGCTGCTGCCAAGCGTCCGTGCCCCAGTCTTTGGGCCCGCCTGCGGCGAACAAATGTACAGCCCCTAAGCTGAACTTGCAGCGGGGGACCAACTCGTTGACTTCTTAAGTCAACATGAAACCAGTGGAGAGAAAAAGTTCAACAGTTAGATAGATGGTTAACTCTTAGTAACTAGACAGTAACCACCTGGAGTAGAAGGGGCTGTTGCTGACATGTCGACGAGCACTTCAGCTGTTTCGGCTGAAGGCTCCTCGTGCCAGGCCTGCGCTCGAAATCCGAAACCAAGGAAAAGCCATCCGGAACCCAGCAAATCCAGGACAGGTGCGTGTGCGTGCGCATGTGCACGTGTCTGTGTTCGTGTGCGTTCATGTGTGTGTGTGTGTGCGTATGTGTGGCGCGTGCTATATGTGAGTGCTGCATGTGCCTTCTGCTTGTGCTGCAAATGCTGCGTGTGCTGTTTTGGTTTGCGCGGGCGCGTGCGCGTTCGCGCGTACAATCGGTCGCCCAACAGTTTCGTTCCACTTTACGGCGCACCTGCCATCCTTCTCGGCCATTCTTGCTGGTCTGAAGGAATTGATACCCAAGGAAGCCATGGTCAGATTTTGATTTGAACCTCGAAAAGGACTGCGCCCCTTCAACCTGCACAAGCCTAGCTGGGCATTGATGGGTTCGAAGGTCAAGATTGGAATGTCTGAGGATGGCCATACCATTCAGAGGAGTCCTCTTGAAACCACAACGACAAGCAGAGACCGACTCACCTTGCAATGAAATGCACTGCGTCTGCCAATGCCTCTCACCTTCCGTGCCGTTGAGCAGCAAGGGGACTTGCTCGCAATACAGCAACTGTGACGCAAAAAACACAAAAGAATCCCGCAAGACTCCAAGCTTGAGTGCTTTCCCTTCTGTTTCCCTCTGAAACCGGCCCGAAAAACGGGCCACTGAAGGAAACACCGCCCACGCCCTGCTGGTCCCAAACATCACCTTGCAAACTCCCCCACACCCCTGCCCACTGGCGCCACTGCCTGCATAGTGCGCTAGCCTCAATCGCGCGGGGCTGGCATGGCCTGGAAAAGGGCTCCCAAATGTGTCGATGCGGTTTTGAGGTCTACAGGAGAAAAAAAAAAAAAGAACACTCGTCTCAAATGCTTTGGCCCTGTCCAGGTTGGGGTCAACACAACACGACACACATAGCCGAATTGCTTGACTCCCGCATTTGTTAAAGTTTTTGCGCAGCTGAGATGTCCAAGCAAGAACTGAAGATATGCATGGTACATTCAGGACTTCAAGTACATTTGCAGAGTGTAAGAGCGCGCTGTTTGTAACATGCAGCATCCCCCAGCAAGCCACGTTTTTGGATCCCCCGTACTTGTGGGGCGCTGCAACTCGCTGGACAACATGGTCAATCTCAGCCGAGTGGCATGATATCGCAGCAGTCGCGACCACCTTGCATTCGAGCATGAGCTACATTGCGCTTCACCAACTCAATGGTGCGGGTGTCCGAGTCAACCTCAACGATCGCAAGCGATACCAAGCTTGCAAAGGGTGTTGCAAAGCAAACAAGAAGAGCTCAAACTCTGGCTTTGAAAAGGTTCCTTGCAGGATTCGTACAAAGAGTCCTCAACACATGAGAAAATGGATGTCAAAACGGCTGAAGCAGCGCCAAAGCCCCACAAACCGCTGGCGCTGAGCCAGTGGCAGACCAGAAGAGCCTGGGCAGCAAAGCCCCGTGCGCATGCAAAAGACCGGTTTGCAATTTCCCCTTAAGACATGACCCGAAGATAAATGATAAAACAATGGAAATTGTTTCTGCAAAAAATATTCTTGTTGCTAGAACGCGAAAAGAAGGGAAACAATTGCAACCTCGCGAAGCAGGGAACTGTTATTGTTTGAGGGGGAAAGAAAAAAAAAAGGATAAAAAAAAAATATAAAAAATAGAGGTGTTCCTAAAACGTGAAGCATGCACAAGCCAGTGAAAACCAGTGAAAATTTTGTGAACATCTCCTGGGAAGCATGCACAAGCCCATGCTACCGAGACACAGAATCTTGTAACATTCAACGGTTCGGACTGCTGCCAAAACGGGCAGCAACCAAATGTGCCTTAGGATAGCAGGGCGCAGCTGTCCGTGAGTGGGGACGAACACATGCAAGCAGCGCATAGCATGAATGCAAGCCCAGGATTTGCAGCCAGGCCACAATGACATGTCCGCGATGGGAAAGGAATTGTGTAGACATGAAAAGAGTTCAGACCTGAGATAGAACCTCCAGCCACAAGTGGCTGCAAAGACCGGCATCTAAGCGCGAGCATACAAAAATGGTGTCCGATCAGCAAGGCCAAAAGATCAATCTCATTGTCAAGCCCTTGAAGCCCCAAACAAAACACATCCTGATCGGGTGGATTTGTGTATATGTACATCTATTCGCGCACCTCTTTTGTCGTGTGTCGGCATTTTTCAAAAACTTGGCATGTCCAACAATTGCAAGCGGAAACAAGCTGCCGTGGTTGAATCATTGCCAACTTGCATAAGCTCAGGAAGTCTCTTGTCATTGTGTTGTACGAGAAACATGGCAACATGCCGACGCGTGGCAAAAATGCGGCACAAACAACAGGATTTCCCATACCTCATTGCATGTTCCGCATTTGCGCATCAAATTCCGTCGGGTGTATGCCAGGAGTGGTTCGAATTCGGGTTCGAGTTCGGGTTCAAGTTCGGGCTGAGGAGAGGAGGGGGTTTCGAGTTGAGTTCGAGTTCGGGTTCGCATCACAGCCGTAGTGAACCGAGCTTCAACTGAACTAGTTCGGCTCGGGCTCCAGTTCGACTTCGGGATCGGGCCGGGGAGAGGGGGGCTCGGACTCCTGCTCGAAGAGGGGGGAGTGGAGGGCGAATCAAGTTCAGTTCAAGTTCGGCGCGTTAGAATCGTGTTTACCGCTTCAAACCAAAGGGAGAACATGTAACCATCAAGGGGCAACGAACCGAAACGTTTTGCTCCGCAGCTCAAAGGTGCAGGCTCAAGGGTGCAGGGAAGTTGACAACGCGTGTCCAACCCACGCACCTGCACCCCATGCGGAGCTACCCCGGTCAACAACGCGTGTTCGACCGCACTGCAGGAGAATTTGGCTGTTTTGCAGGGTTTTTTCAACCCAAAAACCAAAATAATTAGGGTGCTATAAGCCTATGTTCCTTACTACTCGGCGTGATACCTGCTATGCGTGAAACAAATAAGCAGTGGCAGCACGCTGCACTAAGCGGCACGTTGGAATGCG